TGATTTTCGGAATTGAACCAACGACATTTCGTATCAGATGTTCGTGATACAGGCGACCATAGCCACACGGCTACGGCCGCCCTTCAATATGACAATATTCAAGGTTAAGTTTCTTACTCTATGTCATTTTTTTGACATATGACAATTAATATATGACACCTGTCAACTTCTATTGGTTGTCACATTAACTTGTCATTAGTATAAGATATTTGGTATATCTGACAGATAATAATGACAAGTAAAATGTTATCAACTTAACAACAAAATATAAATTCTAGAATTATAATTCTAATATTTCTTCGCGGGCCCCAAAATTTCTTGTGGGCCCCAACTAATTTTGAATGCCACACAGCTTCAGTTCTATAATGTAAAGAATATTGTGAATGCAGAAATGTGGTCCCTATGTACTGCACCTAGTGTGCCTAATGTATAAAACGGTCCAGCGCCTGATGCACTTATATAAAGCATAATGTAGATACATCTTGTTTCGTAATTATTCGTTTGAATAATTAGCTAATTAAATTAAAGTAACTTTGGTTTAATCTACGAATGCTTTCCACTTGTTTCTCCTTGTACCTTTTTCGTTCCGCGGAAGCAAGGGCCGCGATTAGAATTCGTAAAGATGTAAATTGGTTTTGAATTGGAAATGAGATTCATTTCGGATTGCGATGCAGGTCCTTAATCCTCGCAGCTCCCGTTTTTTCATCCAACCATATATTTTTTTGCTATGTTTTGTACCTAGGCCACGTAGAGAGAGAGAGCGAGAGCGTGCGGTTTGCGCCCTTTGCTGAACGTGTGTGTATTCTGGTCGAGCAAACCGATATTGCAATATTAATGAGAGCTTTGTGCGAAGAGTGTATGTTTGCATGCGTGTTTCCATTGGTAGGGAGTGATTTGGGTGAGAGCGGAGAGGGATGGAAAAGGGCGAGAGGAAAAGCCAGAGCCCCATTATATTCCTGATGCAAAACAAGTTTCGGGGACGGTGATTAATAGTTCGCAGCCGATCAACGTTCTCTTTTCCGTTCATCGACGATTTTTTCACCCACCATTTCCATCCACTCCCCCGCCCTGAGCTTTTCATACCTCTTTTTTTTTCTTTACTTTCTACTTTACTCTATATATATTTTATCTTTTTGCTTCTTTCCCGTGCCGTCCTCATTTACTTTTCGCGCCCTGCAAACGATTGATTGATTTTCGATTTTCTTAACGTAGAACAATTTCGATATTAATCTTCGCACAACCCCCTCAGACAATCCGCCGCTTAATTGATCTCACCCTTCGAACAAGCATCGCAATTTCCAGCACTTATTTACGTATAATTAATGAACTTAATGTTGCTACAACGAAAACTTTAATTAAGACGTGATTACAATTAATTTGCTTGTTTTCAGTCGATTCAATTATTTTTATTTATACCATGTAATTACGTCCCTTTCCTTTCGTAAAATAATCTATTATATTTTTTTTGTTATTTTAGAAAGTATTAAATAGGATTAACATATATCCTAATGCCAGCACACTATATACAAATTTCCTAAATCCAATATTTCATTCATAATAGTCATAATTAATATAATATATTACATCAAGATTCGTACACACATCATAAACATTACAAAGTTTCTTATATATAAGAAACCTGTCAATTACTTTTAATTTAATTAACAATAATTAACTTATTTTTAGTAAATTACACTATACACTGATTCGTACAAACTACGAAAATATTTAAAATTTTCTTCTATTTATTATTAAATAGTAACAATAATATTCTATATTTGTTTTTTTTTATTTCAGAACGGATTTCAAGGATTTTGTCCATATTTTTCAACAAGGTACGAATCTTTACATTTTTAATATAAAATCATTATTAAGACAAAAAAAAAATGTAAATCATAAGTTCTAGGATGTCCTTATTTCTCTATGTAAATAAATATTATGATTACTGATCTATAAGTAAGTACAGAGTAATATCTCGCTTTGTACGGTTTCGGATTTACTATAGTCCAGTTTGATATAGTCGAGTTTGAAAATGTCAAAACAATATATTGGTGGAACCGCACAAATCATGGTATTACTATATATAAGTTTTAAATCCTTAATTAAGTTAGCTTATAAGTAAATGGTAAATAATAAACTTTTTCTTAATTACATCTTTACGTTTAATTTTGTTAATTAATTCTACTTTTATAAAGAAACTTTTCTTAGCTATGTATTATTTAAAACATTGAAATATTCTACTTACATAATAAAAGGTAACGTTAAACGTAATGTGATTAAATTAAATTTCGCTTAAAACTGAACTTTCATTTAATAGGTCATAAAATAAATAAACTATTAAAAAGCCGTATATTAAATTCGAGTTAAAAAATCAATAATTAAAATAAATGTACTTTAATAATCAAACATGATTTCAACGTAACTAATTAATTATGAAACTTATTATTAAATATTCATTATGAAAAATTCAATGCAAAAATTATGTATTTTTTTTTCCAAATTATGTAAATGTAATAATAAGAGGGTAATTATCTTTAATAATATTATTTTTTATATAATTGTAAAAATTAAACATTTTATTAGTAAAAATTTATAAATTATTACATATTTCTTGATAGTCAAATAGAGACAATCATAAAATCAATGAAAAAAAGGACAATTTCAAACCAATTTCAGAACTCGACTCAAAAAATCACAGTAATAATCTCACAAATGTCTCGAATTATGTAACTGGGACACCGGGACTTAAGACTAGTAATCGGGACATCTGGTAACGATTATCTATAGTATATGTGATATGACTAAATGACAATCAGGTGTACCAACATATTGAAAATTACATATGTATTAGAAAAGACAATCACTCTTTATCGAAATGACTACAATGTAAAAAGGACAAGAGAAGTTTTTCAAAATTCAAATTAAAAATCAGATATTTAAAAATTATACAAACTATGCTGATAATATTGATTACATGTTTGTAAAAGGTATACATTTTTTGGGTAAAAAATACAAAAATTACAGAAATAATCTTACTAATGTCCCGAAAGATCTAGTTGGGACACCGGGACTTGAAAACGTGATAATCCCGGGACATCTAGTAACTCTTCTCTTAGCAACGATAACTTCTGAACTGGCACGTCAAAATAGAATGTTCCAACGTCAGAAAATCGGCTGATTTATAATGTAAACTAACGTATCGTTTCTTCGATTTGAAACATAACCAAAACCAAACTTGAGGAACCTAAGGCACTAACTAGAGTGAATATGACCAAATTGTTTTTTCCAAATTGTCCTACACAATATTTTTTTTCTCGTGTGAAATTTGTCGTTAGTTCACACAATGTTGTCGTATCATTAATAATTTCCCATTTCATACTGTGCAACTCATATGAATTTATGTTTCATTTAACGGATGGTGTGGACGCAGTTCTACGTTAAAAAACGAATGAAAACGTTAATTTTTAACGATTCCTGCGTGTTTATTTGAATATTATTGTTCTGTATTCAATTTAGCGAAATGTTTTATTAGCAGTGAACGCAAATCGACGGATTAGTAAACAAACAGATAGAGCAGCCAAAAACAATACAATACAACAAAAAATGATAACAAAACAGTTTATGTATGTCAATTAAATACCGACAATTATATCAAACTGGCGCAGGCAAACGAACAAACAAAAATTGACAGTAGGTTCAACATGTACGTACAAAAGTAAACAAGGACCAAAAGTGGGCAAAACGAAGCGCCGAAATTAATTGGTTTTTCACATTTATGAGGCGAATTGACCGCCGCTGCCCACCCAATAACACTTACGTAATCCGCGCAGAGGTCCGATTCGAGGCTTGTTGTTCGCGGATCACTGAATAAACATTAATTGAATCCGCATTTCCAGCGTCCACTAAAACGTGTTCGTGTTTCCCTTTTTTGTCCTTGTTTCGTTTGTTTTGTCTTTTGTGGTCCCTGCTACAAAATTTTATTATAGCTAAATGGGAACGGTATGCAAGCAAGTTATGGACTAATGAATCTTCCATATATATATTTTGTTGGTAGTTGTTCATTTTTAGGATTGGAGCCTTCGCTTTCAAAACAATTACAGTTTCAATTAGAGTCAATTTGTGTTCGATAACGATCCTCGATTAAGTGCTTTTCGAGCTGTAAAACCGAAAGCCATTACACACAAAACCTGTATATACACGTGGATGTTGTTAGAGAGACACAGAGGAAAGAGAAAGAGGACAAAACATACCATTATTGATTCCCCTTGGGGTCATTCCGTCCTGGGATTTATTTAAGGTAGAAAAGCGCGTACGGAAACGAAATGGACTAACAAAAAGTCGAGTTAAATCTGAAGAAGAATTGCTGGCAATTAGCGTTCGCGTGTGTGCACTGCGGGAAGATTAGTTTCGCGACGAAGGTAGGGCTCTCATGATGAATGATATACCTCATCCTCCTACTCTCTGGACCAAGGGATTTGCATTATTTTCACGTGGAAAGGAACTGCGGACCAGAAACCGGAAGCAAAGACTAATAACAGCAGATTCCGGCAGACATTAAATAGTAAAGTTAATTTGCAACGTGGCGTTTTATACACGGTGGTTTCACCAAACTTCATCTATTTATACACGCCGATTTCGGTTACTGCAAATTTAGCAATTATAACGACGAATCAATTCATTTACCAGAACAAATAAATTTATTGTTTCACATATATTTTTAGCTACAAATTAAATTATAAATGAATTAATTGCAAATCAAATAAATTATTGTATTGTTGTGTGCATTATTGAAATATAATATACATTTACATAATGTACATTTTTTTATAATTATAAATTATCATTATATTTATAATTATTAATATTGTTATAATTTTTACTTATGTCTTTGTTTTGTCTTATTATTAAAAGGAGTAACATAAAAAGTAATTAATAGTTCAAAAGAAAATTATATAATTAACTAAGAAATATACAAAATTACAGTGGAAAGTTTTTAAACGTTGATTTTTTATATAAATATTGCAATTAATACTTTTATCTTATATATTTTATAAGTTGTAAATGTAGAAATATTTTCATAATCAATAAAATTTCTATAGATAATAGCTATTTAATACTACTAAAAAGTATTGTGTAATAGATTCTATACTTAGTTTTTTATTATTATTATTATTTTCAATACATTATGAAACTGCAAGGTTCGAAACACAATTAGGGTAAAAGTTTTGAAAACTTTACAAGAAAATAGAAACCGAAGTCTTCTCTTTTGTTTCCATTATAACTTTATCTATTTTCTTTAACATTATTTTTATTTATAGAGAAAAAAGATACATTTTGTTAAAAAAAAACAATTTAAAATATTAATCACATAACATTCACTATAAAACAAAACCAAATATGTAAATTTTCTAAAATATGAAAAATATTTAATTTTATATATATTTTATTAAACTTTTTATAAATTTGGACGTTATTTCTCAGTTGGTTCTAATCTGATTTTAGTGGTTTAAATTAAGATTTTTAGTTTTAGTAATCAAGACAAAATTGTACATAATAATTTCAAACATTTGTAAAATTGAAAATCTTTGTGACACTTATGTGTTAATAAAAACAAGTAATAAATTATGATTAATCTCTTTGGTTTTCTGATATTTTTAAATGTATCAAAAAGTCTTCTAAAATTTAAAGAAACACCCAGTACGTACAGTTCTTTAGATTAGTTGGAAAAGTGATAAATTCCACGTAAATGCTCCAGAGAAATTAATCCGGCTATGTTCTCCCTGCGGAAGCGACGCCATTCAGGGAACGCGCCAAAATCGTTAATTCCGGTATTATTATTATTTTCCGGTAACGTCGTAAATTCATATTTGTGAAAGTGAAAAGCGCGTTTTCTGGATGGGCAAAAACACCGTTTTCCACTCTCCATCCAGGTGCGGTTTACGGTCGATCCGGAAAAGCGGAAGTTTTACGGAAGTCTATTCACCATAATAATGATAATAACGCTGCATCCTAATTAGATGTATACGAGGAAATCCGGTCATTGATTCCTGAAGATCAAAGCGCGCTTCCGCTTTTGGCCCTAAAAGCTTCTTTTTTTACTGCATCCTTCGGCGTCTTCTTTATCTTTTTTTTTTCAATTTTGACAGCGTTAAGGATAATCGAGTAACCTTGTAACCTGGTTACCGAAACGGCTTTTAAACCTCCGTTCGGTTGCTTCGCTGCAGTCTGAATACAGGGATGAAAAACTGTGTACAGAAATTTACAGAAAACCGATCCCTTTCAGCAATTTCTGTACACATTTTTGTTTTATTTTCTTGTGTTTTCAGTTTACTTAGCGTCCTTGGTTCTTTAATTAGCAGATCTAGAGAAGCTTTGACTACTAAAATCTTGAAAAGGATTTGCTTATATTCGTCCCAATGCTAATTATAAACTAAATTACGAGAAAATATTTAAATATTATGAGATGTGAAAATAATTGAAACTTTGTCAAAAAAATTCATACATGAAATAGATTATCTTGTATATGCTTAAATATTATAAAGAGATTGAAATTTCAGAAATTTTCAAAACTCTACAATATCTAGTAAATTACCTATAAAAATGCATTTAAATACATACAATAAGTAGATTATCTTGTAAATGTTTAAATGTTAACAAGAAAATGAACAAAAAATGAATTTCCAGCTTTTTTTCCAATTGAAATGAAAATTTCAGAATTTTTCAAAACTGTACAAGATCTAGCAAATTACCTATAAAAATGCATCTAAATCCATACAATAAGTAGATTATCTTGTAAATGTTTAAATATTATAAAGAGATTGAACAAAAATTATTT